TGTCCGCCATGGGCCGGGGGAGCCAGGCAGCCCCCATCGCTCACGTGCACCCTCCCTGCGCTGCTGCCTTAGGGCTGGGCCCAGTCTCCCCCATGCGCCTGCCGGGCCAGCCCAGAGCCTCCCGCCACCCACGAGAGGAGAGGGGGGAGGAGCACTGCCCTCGGGCTGCCCCCAGCAGAAGTGTGGGGACGAGGGCGAGTTCTTTGTACCCTGGCTGACTCGGAACCAGGGCCCGGAAGGGCACGCTGAATGCTGATTGGCTGCCAGGGTGAGTGCATCCTAGGAAGTTCCGCCTCTCAGAGGTGGTCCTTCCTGGAGTCCCATGGGAATATGCAGTTTGTGCTGCTGGGGTTACCCCAGCCCTAAGATCTAGGTCAGCCCCATTTCTCATCGAATGGCTGCAGCTGCTGGCTACAAACAGGACGGGGGGGCCTGGGCTATACAGAGGTCGGCCCAGGTGCTCTAATCTGGCCTTTCCTCTGTGGTGACCCTGCTGGGCCTAGAGCCACCTTCCTCGAAACACCTCCTGCCTGCCAGGGTGGCTAGAGGCTGGTAAAGGGTCAGGGGCAAGTCTGGCCTGTGGGATCCTGGCTCGGGGCCAGGAGTCTTAGCTCTGCCACACTCCTGAGCTGACTGTGAGCAAGTCACATGACTGTTTGGTGCCTCAGTTTCCCCTGTGTAAAATGGGGGTGATAGCATTTCCTGCCCGGGGACTGAGGCTAAATCTCCTGCTGATTATGAGAGGCCCCGGGCGGGAAGGGTTCTGAGTCATTCGCAGGGGGAACATGCAGCTGCCTTTGCAGGTGCCGTTGGGAGCTATGGGTCAGCCCCCCACACACTCTGGCCGAGTCACTGTTTGGTGCCTCAGTTTCCCCTGTGTAAAATGGGGGTGATAGCATTTCCTGCCCGGGGACTGAGGCTAAATCTCCTGCTGATTATGAGAGGCCCCGGGCGGGAAGGGTTCTGAGTCATTCGCAGGGGGAACATGCAGCTGCCTTTGCAGGTGCCGTTGGGAGCTATGGGTCAGCCCCCCACACACTCTGGCCGAGTCAGACTTC